AAGGGGAATGTATGAAAGTAAAGTGGACCCCCATAGGTTTTAACCCGTGCAAGGAGCCTTGTTATGCGAAATTATCGTTTTGCGAATGAAATTTTCCCCCTAAAAATTTGGAAATCAATTAAACCTGCAAGACACCCCAAAAATATGAAATATTTAATTTTTAAAACACAAAACCGAAAAAAGGATGCACACTTTTCGACACTTACTTTTTTGAAAATTGGTGATGATTGAGGGATGGAAGAGGGAAGGGGTTATGTTTAGAAGGGGGAAACCCCCCTTTCCCTTAAAACTTGAGGTTCAAGTCCTTTTCTGTGGTTACTTCCCTTCTTCTTTTAATGCCCTAGGACCGTTTTGAGTCATGGGGGTTTTGTCGCACAAATATCTGTCCTAGTGGCCTGTACCCCCTCGTTCCTTTTGATTCCCCAAAATGTTTTTAAACATTGTCAGTGAAAAGCACCAGCACGGCTTGCAATAGCTGTGTGAGGGGTTTTTTTATCCATGAAGGCTTCATTCAAACCCCTTTGCACAGATTTCCTTTAAACTTTGTAGTAGGCAATTTCTTCAATTTCTCTCTCCCCTCCTTCGAACCCTTTCCTCAGGGCGGCCCCTTGCTGTTGAAGTTGATCTTCAGTCACATGGTTAGTTCTTCATTGTCCCCTCCCCAACTTTCACTCATCCCCCCTAAACCCCCAACCCCCAAAGGGCTTTCCCCAAAGCCTAATGGATTCCTCAAATGGGAAAGGATTCTCGGGGTTTGCCCGAAACCCCTTTAAAAAACCCTTTTGGGCCACATTGGCCCAGTTTCTTCCAACAGAGTTCAAGGTCCTCTTAGTCACTCCTCCCAAGCCTTACCTATAAGGTTTACACAATTGAGGATATTAAAGTGATCTCTCCAAAAGTCTCTTAGAGTCAGTTGAGTTTCTGAGGTCACTACAAAGCACCTTTCAAACAGAGCTTTTGTGTACAGTTTTTTAAAGTTTGCAATAACCTGCTGGTCCATGGGGCTGCAGGAGAGGAGTGGTATTAGGAGGCAAAAACTTCACCTAATGAATTTCATGTCCCCATAAGTCGCTCTGCCACGTCTGTAAGATGCCAGGGGCATTGTCTAACCCCAGGAGGCACTTAAGTTCTAATTTTTTTTCAGTTAGGTAATCTTTCACATTGGGGGCAAATGCATGGGGGTACCAGTCATAGAAAAAGCCCCTAGTGCCCCATGCCTTATGTTTGCCCTCCACAGCACACACAAATTTTCCTTGAGGCATTAATTTTGCCTGAACGGTCTGGGAGTTTCAGAGTGTATACACTAATAAAGGCTTCACTTTGCAAATCACCAGTAGCTTTGGAACACATCAACAGAGTAAGCCTGTCTTTCATAGGTTAGTCCGGGGAGTGTCTTTTCCTCCTGAGTATGTAGGTCCTGCTTGGCATTTTCTTCCAAAACAGGCCTGTTTCATCACAATTAAACACTTGTTCAGGTTTCAGTCCTTCCCCTGTCTGTGTCTCCTTGAATTCCTGCACATATTTTTCAGCTGCTTTGTGGTCTGAACTGGCAGCCTCACCATGCCTTATCACACTATGTATGCCCCTACGCTTCTTAAATCTGTCCCAAAACCCAAACCCTTTGCTGGCCTTAAATTTCACTCGCATCATCACTAGTTGCAGGCATTTTTTTAATTAAATCCTCATGCAACTTCCTGCCTTTTCACTTACGATTTACTTGAGAGATGCTATCTCCTGCTATCTGTTTCTCATTTTATCCACCCAATACGAGTCTCTCAAATTTTTCCATCACTTGCGATCTCTGTTTCGAAAACAACAGTTTAAACCTTTTGGGAAAAACAGCTTCCTTGATTGCCTTTTGTTGCCCACAAAAGTAGCGATGGTTGATTGGGGTTTACTATACAACCTGGCCAGCTCGGAGACACACACTCCACTTTTCTACTTTCAATGATCTCTTTCTTCATCTCTATAGTAAATTTTCACCCTTATTGCTGTAGGGTTGGCACTAGAAGCTTTCTTGGGCCCATGGTCACTTATTTTGCAGATAAAATCACCAGAAATACTGTAATAATACGAAATGTTCCGATTGTATGCTTGGATGTTACCGCGGAGGCTGGCTGGTAAACAATGCCACCGGCGGAACATGTGAGGCTGGCTAAGGGCGCACATTAGACGCGTCTCAGACGAACAGCGTTGAGCGGGTTTTTTAGCGGTATGCAAGGCAAAATCTTGGCGATAAAATGTAGCGGTATGCGGATTTAACGTTATGTGATGCCAACGGTATGCGGGGGTCCACTGTATAGTAGTACCAACACTCTTATATGGGTGTGAAGCTTGGATGGTAAATGCAGCAGTGAGGAGACGGTTGGAGGCAGTGGAGATGTCCTATTTAAGGGCAATGTGTGGTGTAAATATTATGCAGAAAATTCGGAGTGTGGAAATTAGGAAAAGGTGTGGAGTTAATAAAAGTATTAGTTAGAGGGCAGAAGAGGGGTTGTTGAGGTGGTTTGGTCATTTAGAGAGAATGGATCAAAGTAGAATGACATGGTAAGCATATAAATCTATAGGGGAAGGAAGGGGAGGTAGGGGTCGTCCTCGAAAGGGGTTGGAGAGAGGGGGGTAAAGGAGGTTTTGTGGGTAAGGGGCTTGGATTTCCCAGCAAGCGTGCGTGAGCGTGTTAGATAGGGGTGAATGGAGACGAATGGTACTTGGGACCTGACGATCTGTTGGAGTGTGAGCGGGGTAATATTTACGAAGGGATTCAGGGAAACCGGTTATTTTCTTATAGTCGGACTTGAGCCTGAAATGGGAAGTACAGTGCCTGCACTTTAAAGGAGGGGTTTAGGATATTGGCAGTTTGGAGGGATATGTTGTTATCTTTATACGTATATGCTTCTAAACTGTTGTATTCTGAGCACCTCTGCAAAAACAGTGATTATGTGTGAGTGTGGTGAAAGGTTGAATGATGATGAAAGCATTTTCCTTTTGGGGTTTTTCTTTCTTTTTTGGGTCACTTTGCCTCGGTGGAAGAAGCCGACTTGTTGAAAAAAAAAAAAAAATATATATATATATATATAATATATATATATATAATATATATATATATATAAAATATATATATATATATATATATATATTATTTTTTTTTTTTTTTTTTTTTTTTTTTTTTTTTTTTTTTTTTCAACAAGTCGGCCGTCTCCCACCGAGGCAGGGTGACCAAAAAAAGAAAGAAAATCCCCAAAAAGGAAAATACTTTCATCATCATTCAACACTTTCACCACACTCGCACGAATTTATACTGTTTTTCCCAGAGGTGCTCAGAATAAAACAGTCTAGAAGCATACACACATAAAGATACACAACATATCCCCCCAAAACTGCCCAATACCCCAAACCCCTCCTTTAAAGTGCAGGCATTGTACTTCCATACATACATATATACATACATACATACATACATACATACATACATACATACATACATACATACATACATACATACGTATATAATATATTTTTTTTTTCAACAAACTGGCCGTATCCCACTGAGGCAGGGTTACCCAAAAAGAAAGAAAATCCCCAAAAAGAAAATACTTTCATCATTATTCAACACTTTCACCTCACTCATACATAATCATAATCATATATATCATACAGTTATTTGTCTTTTTAACCATGAATAATGATGCCATGTTCCATCATTGGGACTTGGAAGTAACTTTCATTAACAAAAATTATTATTGAAACCCAGTGCATGAACTTACATACTAATGTATATTAATGCTAATTATGAGCATCTGTTATTTAGCATTACATTTATTCATATTAATATTTATTCACATTTTCTTACATTTCCATTTTATGAAGCAGAGAGAGAAGTACAGTATTATAGTATGTGTTAATTGGGTAGGGATTCATTACTCCCTATGGTTCACTCTCAGACCAAGTCTAAAGCTTAAGAATAATGCAATTTAATGGATGACTGAAAGTTAATAGAAAGTGTATTTTATTCAACCTACCATCTTAAGAAACAGTTAGAATTCCGGCTATGTATAAATATTTGATTTACCACTGTTGGGGAGAGATTCACCAGTGGATTCATAACATAGAATTTTTCCTATATCTTCTTATTCAGCAAATTTCTCAATTTAGTTGATTTAGGTTTGGTTAGGGTAAGTTAAATTGTTGTCTAGGTCACAGCGTTCGTTTCTGTAGATCGTTCATTTCTGAACGATCTACACCGAGATCAAGATTAACTTGTTATAGGTTGGGTAAATTAGGTAAACCTATTTAAATTTAATTAAATTGTATTTTTGTATAGTTAACCAGAAGGTGCAGAGCTACCAAAAGCATTATTCACAGGGCTAGAGAGGTGGTTCAGAAATGATGGAGCAAAATGGGATGACTAGGTGGGTGCATGAATTTGAAATGAAGGAAAGGAGGAGTGAGGATCATCCTACTAAAGGTTGGCAGGAGGGGGTAGAGGAGGTTTTGTGTGAAAGAGGCTTGGTCATTCAACAGACTTGCGTGAGTGTTTTAGATAGGAGAGAGTAAAGACAAGCAGTTTTTATGACTTGCCACTCTATTGACATGTGAGCAAGGTAACATTTATGAAGGGATTCAGGTAAACCTGTTAGCCAGTCTTGAGATCTGGAGGTGGGAAGTATAGTGCCAGCACTGAAGGAGGGGAATTTGAACTATAATGTTGGCACTTCTCTGGCTGGATGGTGATAGAATGAATGATGGTGAAAGAGAATTTTCTGTTTTGGGTCACCCTGCCTTGGTGGGAGATGATCAATGTGTTAAAACAAAAAAGTTAACCGCCAGTAAATAAATCACATAAATGGAAGTGTGACATCTGGCAGGGAAGGATTCATTGTTATTGCTTCAACAATGGAAAACCTCATCCTTATCATCTTTGGTGAAAAATGGATTTGTTTGGCAGGAATAATATCTGATGGAAACAGATTGGGTAAATATCTTTGAAATTGTTTGAACAGGGTACTGCAGTAGTTACAATGGTAACAACCCGTCCAGTCATGGCTACATCTGTGAGCGTGCCATCTTCTCTTGCTGCTGGGATGACATCCGTCACAATGACCAGTGCTAGGCCAGTGATTGCAGCTCCATCCACAACTGTCACCTCTAAGCCAGGTTGTGCAACATCAATTATGCGCAAGACCCACACTAATGTTGTTGTGTCTTCAGGTAAAAATGTTTCTTTTGTCTATACAAATTTTCACTTGGATTTTTTTTATATTTTTCCATTTCTATGCCTTTTTTAAACTTATGTACTGATCTTTCTGTCAGTCAGTCTTTTCTTCCCATATCCACGGGTCTGGTATCCGCAGTTTCAATTATCTGCAGTTTGTCGTGGCCCGAAAATAACTGTTAATTTTACTTAATAATGGCCTCAGAGTGCAAAAGTAGTGATGGTGGAAGTTTTTCAAAGCCTAAGAGAAGCCATGAAGTACTTCCCATCAGTGAAAAGGTGATAATTCTCCATTTATTTTGCATAGTTTATCAATTAACTTTATAATAGGTATATACTTATAGGGGTTGCAACTATTTGTAGTTTCGGTATCCATGGCAGGTCCTTGGAATGTATCCCCCGCAGATACGGGGTCCCACTGTATTAGTCTGGACCTGGAAATAAATGGTATAAAATACCGACACAATGGAAATATAAACACACATTTAGTATAATGTGATCCTTTATTGACAACGTTTCGCCCACACAGTGGGCTTTTTCAAGTCACAAACAGATCTGCCTGGGGTGGAAGGTACGTGAGTATTTATAGTGAGGTTCAGAATGCTGAGGTCAGGTGGAGAATGCTGCATCTGATGATGTACCGAGTGGGGTCATAGTCTAAAATCTTGGGTAGCTTGGAAGGGAGATTGGATAAGTTTGTGAACAGACGCACCGCCGAAATCATTCGCAGCAGTTACCACAGCGAATGTTCAACAGAAGATCAGACTTACTAGGAAACTACAAACACTCTGCGATAATAGTAATTGGTAAAGTTTAGGAAGGCCTGAAATTATTCAAAATCTTTCATCTCGTCCACTGTCAACCACAGAAACTGAAGCCCTCAGCTTAGGCCTCAAATTCGCAACAGGAATTACGAAACCAAAACAAGACCTCAATTTCATCGCCAAAAACTACAGACACAATGACTCCGACTTCCAAAAAGGTTATCTTCAAGGCATCATCTCAGCAGCCATCTCAACATGCAGCTCCCCAGTCATACCTCGACATTACATCAATGCACTCAAAGGTTTAGCAGAAGACACGACCATCAGGGTCACCACCACTGATAAAGGAGGTGGTGTTGTTATCATGAACACTGACGATTACAGGAACAAAATGCTCAATCTACTTAATGACCCAGATACCTACAAATCTCTGACAACTAACCAAGTGGACAACCTTACTAAAACTTTTCTTCAAAAGACTCGCCGCATTCTGAGGGGCTCAGAACACGGGAAGAAACTTCTGCACACCATGCCCAGCAACCCCAGACCTGCCAGAATGTATGGCCTGCCAAAAACTCACAAGCCTGGTATCCCACTGAGGCCCATATCCTCGGGAATAGGCAGTGCTCCCCACCAGCTCTCAGGAATTCTCACAAAGCACCTCTCTAAACTCTTGGGCACTATCAGTCCAGCATATCTCGAACACTCGGGTGATCTTCTCAATCGCATTCGCAACATCAACATCAGGAACAAGAAACTTTCCAGCCTTGACGTGACTTCCCTATTCGCCAAAGTACCTACTACACAAGCCATCAATCTCTTGCCAGGAAAATTGACGATTCACTTGATCTTCCTATTCCAGCCAGCGATTTCATCGACCTTGTTGAACTATGTGTTGGCTTTACTTGTTTCTCTTTCGAAAATCACCTCTTTCAGCAGACTTTTGGACTACCCATGGGTTCGCCACTCAGTGCGGTCCTGGCGAACCTATACATGGAACATCTAGAAGCCGAACGTTTCTCCACCATTATTCCTTTGTCTGTCGCCTGGCTCCGTTATGTTGACGACATTCTCCTCATAACTCCTAGATGCTTCAACGTTCAAGCCCTCCAAGACAAGCTCAACCAGGTCGAGCCTTCAATCCAGTTCACACTTGAAGAAGAAGTCGACAACACTCTTCCTTTCCTTGATGTTCTTCTCTGCAAAGCTGACCACGAACTTCATTTTAAAGTCTATCGAAAACCCACCAACCAAAACGATCTTCTCCACTTCTACTCTCACCAGGACACCAAAACTAAACGTGGTGTAATTATAGGCTTCTTCCTGCGTGCACTCAGAATCTGCAGCAATGAGTTTCTTGAGGAAGAATGCACTATAATTGAACAAGTATTTTCTAAACTCCACTATCCTCGTCACTTCATCAGAGACTGCAGACGACGGGCATTAAACATCTTCAACACACCCAGAGAAGACACTGCCGAGAAGAGATACATAGTCCTCCCCACCAACTCCATTGCCAAACACGTTTCCAACATCTTTTCCAATACCTCATTCCAAGTATCTACCTCCACAACCACGACCATCAAGGACATTACCAGTGATAGACAGGACAAGCTTCCACCCTCTGCAGGGGTATACATAATCCCTTGTAATGACTGCAACAAATTATACGTGGGCGAAACATCAAGGGACCTCCAAACACGTATTTCAGAACACAAATACGCAAGCAGGTCTGACGATACAAGAAATGCCTGTGTACAACACTGTAATTCACACAACCACTTGATAAACTACAGAAACTCAAGACTTATCGCCACAGAAGACAACACTCCATACCGAAGAATCCTGGAATCATCACTTATTTCTATATCCGACAACTTCAACCAGAATAGTGGCTTCTATAACATAGCTGAACCACTTGCCAAGAAACTTCTTCATCGCTATCCCACATAAGAACACAGGAATGGAAGAACACTGTAGAAGGTCTGCTCACAAACTTATCCAATCTCCTTTCCAAGCTACCCAAGATTCTAGACTCTATAACCCCACTCGGTACATCATCAGATGCAGCATTCTCCACCTGACCTCAGCATTCTGAACCTCACTATAAATACTCGCATACCTTCCACCCCAGGTAGACCTGTTTGTGACTTGAAAAAGCCCACTGTGTGGGCAAAACGTTGTCAATAAAGGATCACATTATACTGCATATGTGTTTATATTTCTAGTCTGGACCTGTTTCTATAAATTTTAATATATCTACTATTGCAGTATCTGTAAATGGGTGTAATAGATGAGTTCCAAGATTAAATACATTTGTATTCTATGAATATTATGAGCTGTAAAAGTGAGGAATAATTAGAAAACAATCCCCCGACATATGTACGAATCAGGAGATGAGCACTTAATTTTATAGAACATTTGAGAACCTGCAATGATTTCCTTCACTGCTTCCGAGGCACTGCAAAACAGTTAACAATTACTTGTATACAATGTACTGTGCCATATTAATTGTATTTCATATACAGTTTTTCAGTGTGACTTTCTGCTTTCTTCTTACTACATGAATTTATTAAGTGACAGGCACTTCACGTTTCAAGGAAACGGCATATTAAATCAACTCATTTTTTTATGATCTTTCTGCTTGGAGTCCCACAGTTTACCTAGGACTAGTTCTATGAAATTCTCCACTTTTGCAAGCTATGCTATACTCTAAGGCCAGATTTTTTTTACTTGTCTAGAAATTATCTTTTTCCTTAGACATTGATTTTTTTTTTTCAACAAGTCGGCCGTCTCCCACCGAGGCAGGGTGACCCAAAAAGAAAGAAAATCCCCAAAAAGAAAATACTTTCATCATCATTCAACACTTTCACCTCATTCATGCATAATCACTGTTTTTGCAGAGAAGCCCAAATACAACAGTTTAGAAGCATATATAAAGATATATAACATATCCTTCCAAACTGCCAATATCCCAAACCCCTCCTTTAAAGTGCAGGCATTGTACTTCCCATTTCCAGTAATCAAGTCTAGCTATATAAAAATAACCGGTTTCCCTGAATCCCTTCACTAAATATTACCCTGCTCACACTCCAACAGATCGTCAAGTCCCAAATACCATTCGACTCCATTCACTCCTATCTAACATGCTCACGCATGCTTGCTGGAAGTCCAAGCCCCTCGCCCACAAAACCTCCTTTACCCCCTCCCTCCAACTTTTTTGAGGACGACCCCTACCCCGCCTTCCTTCGCCTACAGATTTATACGCTCTCCATGTCATTCTACTTTGATCAGTTCTCTCTAAATGTTCAAACCACCTCAACAGCCCCTCTTCAGCCCTCTGACTAATACTTTTATTAACTTTACACCCTGTTTAATTAAAACCTATTCATAATATCTACCTTAGGTAGTTTATTATTATTATTACACTTTATATTTAAACATACCGGATGTCTCCCGCCAAGGTGGGGTGATCCAAAAAGGAAACACATTCACCATCATTCATTCAATCTCTGTCTTACTAGAATCATGCTGGCATCTCACTCAAATGGCCCTCCATTCTGCAACAGTGCTAATCCTATGTGGATCATTTGGCTCAGTGAGTTAGGAAAGCTTGATCCTCCATTGCAAAATGCAAGACATACCTGTTGTTGTATATCTAATCGTGTATAATTAGTATTATGTCGATGTAATGGTAATATAATCAGCAATCTTTGTTTGATAAAAAGATAAGGATAAGATAAATGAACATCTTACTAGTGAATTATATTGTTATATCGTACAGATGTATCAGTTGAACACAGTTATGGAAGCCATAGTAGGCTCAGCATTTAAGGTAAGACTAAATTGAACAATTATATAGAATATATAAAATTCAAGATCTTTATTTTCACCAGTAATTACCTGCATCTTGTATAAGTATCAATAATTACAGATAATAGAATAATGGCATTCATTAAGGACTTTGGATATAAATTGAAACATAGATTGTATAAAAATAAAGAAAATAATGCTGCACAAAAAGTAACTATAATAAATAGTTATACCTTGATATTGCTCAATAGAGCATATGCTCTACAAAGCTGTATCAAGATGTAATTACTGCCTAATAGAGCATATGCTCTACAAAGCTGTATCAAGATGTAATTACTGCCTAATAGAGCATATGCTCTACAAAGCAGTATCAAAGAATAATTATTTCTTAATAGAGTATAGAGCATATTCTCTATAAAGTAATACCAAAGTGTAATTATTGTTCAATCGAGCATAGAGCATATATTCTGCAAAGAATATCAACGTGTAATTATCATATGGGAATTATCTTAGAGTACTATGATCAAATTAAGAAGTTATGAGCTTGATTCAAATTTTTAACATAATCTGTAACAACACTCTGTAATGCTGCATCTTAACAGTGTTCTGTAATTGTGTTAGTGGTTCAGATTTACACATCACAAAATTAAGGACAGCTTGGTAGGGACATGCTGCAGTGATTACAAAATGTATATGGAGTTTAAATTCTTGTGTAGAGATAAAGAAGTCATGTCTATAATTTTTTTTTTTTTTTTTTTTCAACAAGTCGGTCATCTCCCACCGAGGCAGGGTGACCCAAAAAAGAAAGAAAATCCCCCCCCAAAAAATGCTTTCATCATCATTCAACACTTTCACCACACTCACACATTATCACTGTTTTTGCAGAGGTGCTCAGAATACAACAGTTTAGAAGCATACACGTATAAAGATACACAACATATCCCTCCAAACTGCCAATATCCCAAACCCCTCCTTTAAAGTGCAGGCATTGTACTTCCCATTTCCAGGATTCAAGTCCGACTATATGAAAATAACCGGTTTCCCTGAATCCCTTCACTAAATATTACCCTGCTCACACTCCAACAGATCGTCAGGTCCCAAGTACCATTCGTCTCCATTCACTTCTATCTAACACGCTCACGCACGCTTGCTGGAAGTCCAAGCCCCTCGCCCACAAAACCTCCTTTACCCCCTCTCTCCAACCCTTTCGAGGACGACCCCTACCCTGCCTTCCTTCCCCTATAGATTTATATGCTTTCCATGTCATTCTACTTTGATCCATTCTCTCTAAATGACCAAACCACCTCAACAACCCCTCTTCTGCCCTCTGACTAATGCTTTTATTAACTCCACACCTTCTCCTAATTTCCACACTCTGAATTTTCTGCATAATATTTACACCACACATTGCCCTTAGACAGGACATCTCCACTGCCTCCAACCGCCTCCTCGCTGCTGCATTTACCACCCAAGCTTCACATCCATATAAGAGTGCTGGTACTACTATACTTTCATACATTCCCTTCTTTGCCTCCATAGATAACGTTTTTTGACTCCACATATACCTCAACGCACCACTCACCTTTTTTCCCTCATCAATTCTATGATTAACCTCATCCTTCATAAATCCATCCGCCGACACGTCAACTCCCAAGTACAGTGGACCCCCGGTTAACGATATTTTTTCACTCCAGAAGTATGTTCAGGTGCCAGTACTGACCGAATTTATTCCCATAAGGAATATTGTGAAGTAGATTAGTCCATTTCAGACCCCCAAACATACATGTACAAACGCACTTACATAAATACACTTACATAATTGGTCGCATTCGGAGGTGATCGTTATGCGGGGGTCCACTGTATCTGAAAACATTCACTTCTTCCATACTCCTCCTCCCCAATTTGATATCCAATTTTTCTTTATCTAAATCATTTGATACCCTCATCACCTTACTCTTTTCTATGTTCACTTTCAACTTTCTACCTTTACACACATTCTCAAACTCATCCAATAACCTTTGCAACTTTTCTTTAGAATCTCCCATAAGCACAGTATCATCAGCAAAAAGTAACTGTGTCACTTCCCATTTTGTATTTAATTCCCCATAATTTAATCCCACCCCTCTCCCGAACCCTATCTATAAATATATTAAACAACCATGGTGACATTACACATCCCTGTCTAAGACCTACTTTTACCGGGAAATAGTCTCCCTCTCTTCTACACACCCTAACCTGAGCCTCACTATCCTCATAAAAACTCTTACAGCATTTAGTAACTTACCACCTATTCCATATACTTTTAACATTTTCACATTGCTCCCCTATCCACTCTATCATATGCCTTTTCTAAATCCATAAATGCAATAAAAACTTCCCTACCTTTATCTAAATATTGCTCACATATATGCTTCAATGTAAACACTTGATCTACACATCCCCTACCCACTCTAAAACCTCTTTGCTCATCAACAATCCTACATTTTGTCTTACCTCTAATTCTTTCAGTAATAACCCTACCATACACTTTTCCTGGTATACTCAGTAAACTTATTCCTCTATAATTTTTACAGTCTCTTTTGTCCCCCTTCCCTTTATATAAAGGAATTATACAATGCTCTCTGCCAATTCCTAGGCACCTTCTCCTCTTTCATACATTTATTAAACAAAAATACCAACCACTCAACACTATATCTCCCCTGCTTTTAACATTTCTGTCATGATCCCGTCAGTTCCAGCTGCTTTACCCCCTTTCATTCTACGTAATGCCTCACGCATCTCCCCCATACTCACATCCTGCTCTTCTTCACTCCTAAAAGATGGTATACCTCCCTGTCCAGTGCATGAAATTACCGCCTCCCTTCCTTCATTGACATTTAATAGTTCCTCAAAATATTCCTGCCATCTACCCAATACATCCATCTCCCCATCTACTAACTCCCCTACTCTGTTTTTAACTGACAAATCCATTTGTTCCCTAGGCTTTCTTAACTTGTTTATCTCACTCCAAAATTTTTTCTTATTTTCATCAAAATTTCTTGACATTGCCTCTCCCACTCTATCATCTGCTCGCCTTTTACACTCTCTCACCACTCTCTTCAGCTTTCTTTTACTCTCCATATACTCTGCTCTTCTTATAACACTTCTGCTTTGTAAAAACCTCTCATAAGCTACCTTTTTCTCTTTTATCATACCCTTTACTTCATCATTCCACCAATCACTCCTCTTTCCTCCTGCCCCCACCCTCCTATAGCCACAAACTTCTGCCCCACATTCTAATACTGCATTTTTAAAACTACACTCTTCAACCCCCCCCCACTACTCATACCTGCACTAGCCCACCTTTTTGCCGATAGTTGCTTATATCTCACCCGAACTTCTCCCTTAGTTTATTCACTTTCACCTCTCTCTTACTTATTGTTGCCAGGACTTAATATTGTTATTTATTATTTTTATTACATCTGTATATAGGTATTCCTCGACCAGTGATGAGTCCAAATGCCACAACCATTACTGTGCTGGGATCAAGTGGAAGTTTGCCTGGCGCTGCAGCTCCAGTAATGCGACCCTCCACTACCCAGGGTACCCAGTCCCACGGTCCACTCATTCTCCACCCTTCAAAAGTTCCACCTCCAATCTCTTCCACCACAGTCAGCAACAAGGGGGTGACTCAACGACTTGTGCCAATACCAATCACTCAGGTAATATTGAGTGTGATGGTAAAAACACTATTTTATTATCAAAAACTTTGAAATAGTACTGTCGTTTAATATAGCATGGCCTCTTCAGCTGTAATGAGCATGTGATGAGTCTGAAATTGTCATATTGAGGCATGAGCTATCCTATCATTGACCCAAATATGAAAAGTAACCTGACAGTCCCACTTTTAGTGACAACCTAAAGAGCCCAATAACTAATAAACACCTAAATAAACATTATCTAATACTTGCTGGTGACTTCAACATTAAGCTTGTTCAAGCCAAGGACCCTCAAGTAACCAACATCATTAACAGTATATATAATTCCTTGCTTATACCATCTGTAATTAAACCAACAAGAATCACCATCTAGTGCCAGAGAGTACACTCCCCAACTCTTCAAAAATCTAAACTTAATATACATACTACATATAGTTAGTGGACGAGTTTGGGAGGGTGTGTAAAGGTAGAAAGTTGAAAGTGAACATAGATAAGAGTAAGGTAATGAGGGTATCAAATTATTTAGATAAAGAAAAATTAGGTATCACATTGGAGAGAGGGAGTATGGAAGAAGTGAATGTTTTCAGACATTTGGGAGTTGACTTGTCAGTGGATGGGTTTATGAAAGATGACATTAACCATAGAATTGATGAAGAAAAAAAGGTGAGTGGTGCATTGAGATATCTGTGGAGACAAAAAACATTATCTATGGAGGCAAAGAAAGGAATGTATGAAAGTATAGTGGTACCAACACTTACATGGGTGTGAAGCTTGGGTTGTAAATGCTGCAGCGAGGAGGCGGCTGGAGACAGTGGAGATGCCCTGTCTAGGGGTAGTGTGTGGTATAAATATTATGCAGAGAATTCGGAGTGTGGAAATTAGGAGGAGGTGTGGAGTTACTAAAAGTATTAGTCAGAGGGCTGAAGAGGGGTTGTTGAGGTGGTTTGGTCATTTAGAGAGAATGGATCAAAGTAGAATGACTTGGAGAGTGTATAAATCTGCAGGGGAAGGAAGGAGGGGTAGGGGTCATCCTCGAAAAGGTTGGAGGGAGGGGGTAAAGGGGGTTTTGTGGGCAAGGAGCTTGGACTTCAGCAAGCTTGTTAGATAGGAGTGAACGGAGATGAATGGTTTTTGAGACCTGACGATCTGTTGGAGTGTGAGCAGGGTAATATTTAGTGAGGAGATTTAGGGAAACTGGTTAGCTAGACTTGAGTCCTGGAAATGGGAAGTACAGTGCCTGCACTTTAAAGGATTGGTTTGGGATACTGACAGTTTGGAGGGGCTTCTAAACTGCTGTATCTGAGCACTTCTGCAAAGACTGAGTATGTGTGAGTGAGGTGAAAGTGTTGAATGATGAAAGTATTTTCTTTCTGAGGATTTTCTTTCTTTTTGGGTCACCCTGCCACGTTGGGGGACGGCTGACTTGTTGAAAAAAAATAATATGGAAGACTATCAATTTTAATAGCAGTTCTGTTCTGAAACTCTTTCTTGATATCTGCCACAGAACTCAGGCATGATACCAGACACAGGAATCTATGATACTCCCTGTATCCAGCTCAACCTGGGTAAAAACTCAATGTGCATAAAAGGGCCTAAAATCTGGAACTCTTTGCCTGAAGACTCCAGAGGCTCCCTGTCTGCCAACCACTTCAAAGCTACTTTTAAAAAAAACCTTACCTTAATTTGATCCTGATAACAATTTATTATGCTGAACAAATCCTGAAACTCTGTGTTTCATCCACTATTGTCTCTGCTTTTGTTCCATCTTTCCTTCAGTTCTCATTTATTACTAGAACAACATTTTTTCCCCAGTATCAATTCAGGTACTCAGTTTCATCTTCAATGTATCTTTAATTATAATTTTTATATTAAATTGCTGAATATCTTCAATATAGTATAAACTAAGTACTGTATTTTCATTCTCATGTGCTATATGTGTCTCACTGTCTAATAATTGTAAGTTAGTTATAAGGCTGCCCAAAATTCTTTGTATAACAAGGAACTTTCTATAAAGTGGTTTATACATGTCAGTTACCATAGTTGTACATTGTATTTTAAACAGTATGATGATACCCCTTTATAGAAATGAAGTTATTTGTTTTGTTTGACTGTCACTGACCTGGTAGTAAAATCAGTGGAAATAAGATTACCTGTTTCTGTAGTGAATGTTGATTTGTCTCTTGCTCATTTCCGATTAAGAGGCCATGTGACATGGTGCATTGATATGAATTTTAGTTTTTGTTAATGTTGTGGTGGTGTTGCTATAATTTATTTTCATATTTGGAAATTATCAAAATGTTATTGTTGGATGCTGCTATAAGAATTCTTTTGGGGAATTAATAAGCTTGTTGCCTTTTTCTTAACACATTGTCTTCACAAGATCTGAAACTGTGGTTTACTGTAGCTTTGCTTACTTGTAAAATGAGACATGCATATATCTACCTACTTGAAGAAAGACAGGCAATTATTATCCCTTGATGCTTCTTGCCATTTTAGTTGTTGGTATCTAAGCACTGACATTGGTTAATGATAAAACTGAAGGAAGTGGTGAATGAACTTTACATATCTTGTAAATGAAGAAATCAAGAAGTAAATTCTGTCAAGAGTTAAGTGATGACTTTTTTGAGTGTTGGGGAAATGATGGGGTGGGTTTTGTTTTGTGCTTTAGAAGAAAGATAAAGATGTTTATATCATTAGAATACTTTGAGGTTACATTGTATTGCTTTGCAGGTTGGCTGCAGTTTTAGGAAAACTCTGTATTGCATATTCTAATGAAAGCCCATTATTATGCAAGGCATTTCAGACAGACTAATTCTAAGCCTTAAAAATTACCTATAAGTTTTAGTAGGTATGATTAGGCTTTGTTTGACAAATCAGGATGGATATTTTTATGCACATTATGAAGGCCAGGGAATTATTTAAAAATAACAAAAAGTATATAGTTTGACTGAGTAAGGATTATAATAATTGAGAGAAAGGTTAGTCTGAGGAAAAATTATGAAACAATAGTTTCTTTAAGTAACTTAGTTCACAAGAGCAGTTGAAAGGAGAGGCGGTGGAGATAGTAGTGATAAAGGAGTGTAACATATGATTGCAAGTTGATAGCTGGCAGGAAAATTAGTGACATTGAATTAAAGAGGTGTTTGTTGACCATAGTCTTGAAGCAGTACGCAAATAGAGTAGTTTTAGAATTAGTATCTGGAAGGGAGTTTCGTATTTTTGGGCCCTTTACACGCACAGAATTTCTAGTTAGGTTAAGTTGAAAGCATGGGATGTCAAAAAGGTATTTTTTCTTGTATTGTGGTACTGTGTTCTGTTGCAACTTTCTAGGAAGAGTTTTAGGTCTGGCTTTGAATCTGTGTAAATAAGTGTCCTCTGTATATAGTATACACAAGTGAAAGTATGAATTCCTTGTACGTTAAGTAAACCTAAACTTTAGAATAGTGGAGGTGTGTGTTGTCTAGGACCTAATTGAGTGCTCATTCTGATGGAAGGCTTTTGTTGTGTTATGACACATTTAAGGTGATTAGCCATTGTAGATCCTCATGCACATATGCCATAGGTGAGGTAAGGATAGACTAGTGAGTAACGACGTTTGTAGAGCATTTTTCAGAATATGTCCACTGTTTTGGAAGTTTATCTAGAACTGTGCCGAATGTGTACATGAAATTTTAGTTACTGTCAAGGTGTATACCAAGGAATTTTCCTTTATCTTTTAATTCATGTATTATTTATCTTTATGGTTAACAAAATATTTTTAGCTTTGTTTTCAAATAGTATATAGAATGTTTTGTCTACTTTGAGTGCGAGTCTGTTTGTTGTCACTCAGGTGGATATCTTTACCAGCTCATCATTAACTGTGTTGTTGAGGACAGTGGGATCTGCATTTGAAATAACAAAAATGGTGTCACCTGCAAACAGAATTGGTTTAAACTTCTGAAAGGCATTAGGAGGGTCATTGATGTAGATGAGGAACAGTAGAGGGCCTAGGACACTGCCCTGGGGCACCTACTATGTTGATAGATCGAGTTGTTGATGCATTGTCATTAATGGTCACTTGCTGGTATCTATCATTGAGGTAAGACTTTATGTATGTGAGTGCATGACTTTTGATTCCATGTACTAATTTGAGCAGCAGGATGCTGTGATTTACTATGTCAAAAACTTTTTTTGTTTTTTTTCAGATCAGTAAAAAGACTCAGAATATTCATCTTTTTCTAGGGGTGAATAGACCGAATCAAACATTTTGCCTATTATATCATTCATATTTTTAAAATCCATATGGGCAGGGTTTTTAACCCTTTTGCTGACTGTGCTGTAGTACTACAGCTTTGAGGTCACTGTAAGTGCTGTAGTACTATGCAATGACCTCAGCTCACTTAGATAAGCTGTGAGCAGTAAATTTGGGCCTAGATATGAGAGAATGGGTTTCTTTCTTCTTCTCTCAACGTACCAGCAGTATCCCACCTAGGTGGAGTGGCCCAAAGGAAAAACGAAAGTTTCTCCTTTCAAATTTAGTAATATATACAGGAGAAGGGGTTACTAGCCCCTTGCTCCCAGCATTTTAGTAGCCTCTTACAACATGCATGGCTTACGGAGGAAGAATTCTGTTCCACTTCCCCATGGAGATAAGAGGAAATAAACAAGAACAAGAACTAGAAAGAAAATAGAAGAAAACCCAGAGGGGTGTGTATATATATGCTTGTACATGTATGTGTTGTGTGACCTAAGTGTAAGTAGAAGTAGCAAGGCATACCTGAAATCTTGCATGTTTATGAGACAGACAAAAGACACCAGCATTCCTACCATCATGTAAAACAATTACAAGCTTTCATTTTACACTCACTTGGCAGGATGGTAGTACCTCCCTGGGTGATTGCTGTCTACCAACCTACTACCTAGGAGAATGGGTTTATCAACACATAATAGCCTTGTTAATGGCGCCATCAAAACATTCCATGTAAATTTAATGAAAAGTTTTATTAGTTGTAGGATTCTCATTTTCAGATTTTAATCTCTGCTTTTATCTATACAAAAAGAAGCAGTGCTGGATTTACTCTCGGGGTTTAGCACTTAACTTAATTATAGTAATAATAATAATTACATGTAATGCTTTAGGTTTGAACTAATGAACTTTTGACAAAAAAATATATTAATATAAATAGATGAGTCTTCATGGGGAAGTGGAACAGAATTCTTCCTCCGTAAGCCACGCGTGTCGTAAGCGGCGACTAAATTGCCAGGAGCGAGGGACTAGTAACCCCTTCTCCTGTATACATTACTAAAGTTAAGAAGAGAAACTTTTGTTTCTTTTTGGGCCACCTTTCTTCAGTGGGACATGGCCAGTTTGTTGAAAGAAAGAAAGAAATACTGTAGATGAGTAGAAGTAGGCAGTGTGTCTGTGGTGTACTCAGCGGGAGGAAGACAACCTCCAGCAGTGCTTGTGCTGAATGACCCCACATGGGTTTAGCACTTCATATCATTTTTTGGTACATTTCTCTACTTACATCCCTACACCTTGTTCTGGGTCATAAATTTAACTTGATGAATATCTCCATTGCAAGTGTTAAAGTTCCCATTGATAAATTTATTGTCTTTGTCACAGGTGCGAACAGGAGTTGCTAACAAAGCTGTGCTCTCATACAGCACCCTCCTGCAAGCAGGTAGTGGAAGCACAAGTGTGGCTGGGAAGAAGGATGGTCACTCTTCTCCCACACCTCTTCTCCTGCAGGCAGCATCACCCTCAGCCGTAAAGAGTGCTGCGGCCTTGGCCAAGACCGGTGGGGCCACTATCAGTATTATTACGGGCAAGGTATTTGCCAATTTTATAAGTTGATGCTATTTCCTGTAGAATAGTTTAACACTTATTTTAATCATTGTGGCTTCAGTCTTAAGGTTTTTAAGAGCTAATAAGCATTTGTATTCCAAGTTCTTTACAATGTTCATAACATTTTATTTTTATAGTTTTGCCTCTTCTTATTTTGTCAAATGTCACCTTGAAGGTTTCACTTATAATTCTGCTCTTGTGTACCACTAATATAGTGCTTTTGCTTGTATAATATACCTTTTGTTTGCAAACTAAAACATTTATGAATTAACTGTCATTATTATTTTTGAAGTACATTGTCCTTTTCCCACCAAAGTAGTGGTGACTCAGAGAAGGAATATTCACCATCACTCAGTCAACAGCTGTCTTTTCATGGGTGCATTAGCTTCACAGTTCTTAAAGAAATAAGTTAATGATTTTTTTTTTTTTTAACAAGTCGGCTGTCTCCCACCGAGGCAGGGTGACCCAAAAAGAAAGAAAATCCCCAAAAAGAAAATACTTTCATCATTCATTCAACACTTTCACCTCACTCACACATAATCACTGTTTTCGCAGAGGTGCTCAGAGTACAACAGTTTAGAAGTATATACATATAAAGATACACAGCATATCCCTCCAAACTGTCAATATCTCAAACCCCTCCTTTAAAGTGCAGGCATTGTACTTCCCATTTCCAGGACTCAAGTCTGGCTATATAAAATAACCGGTTTCCTTGAATCCCTTCATTAAATATTACCCTGCTCACACTCCAACAGCTCAGCAGGTCCCAAATACCATTCATCTCCATTCACTCCTATCTAACATGCTCACGCACGCTTGCTGGAAGTCCAAGCCCCTCACTTGGACTTTAATATATTTAATATATTTTATCTACTCAGGGTTGCAAGCAAGGAAGTGGAAGTGGAGTTCCTGCATCCAGCACCAACCCTCTCAACATGCTGTCCGTTAACCTGGGCCAGAACAAGTCTAACATGATTAATTTCAAGATATCTAATGGCCAGATTCAGGCAGACAACATACAGCAAGTTGATGGTGGGTATTGAAGAGGGCTGCAACAATTCATTTTTCCTCTTCTTCCTTGAATACTTTTATGTTTGATTTATTGTCTTTCCTATCATTTGTATCTACTTTATTTCTTAACCACATTAGCTATTTCCCTTTTCAAAATAATGTGTTTTACACAGACATCTGCAGTAAGTGACAGTGTTACATAGTGTGCTCTAGTCATTAACAGTGTTATATAGTGTTCCACTCATTGAGAGCTATATAGAGTGCTCCAGTCATTGACAGTGTTATATAGAGTGTTTTAGTCATTATTGGTGCTATATAGTGCTTCAGTCATTGACAGTGTTATATAGAGTGTTTCAGTCATTATTGGTGCTATATAGTGCTTCAGTCATTGACAGTGTTATATAGAGTGTTTCAGTCATTATTGGTGCTATATAGTGCTTCAGTCATTGACAGTGTTATATAGAGTATTTCAGTCACTGTCATTATTATATAGATTCCTTCCTTTGTAGTGATATGAAGTGGTTTTTCTTTGCCAGTTTTGCGGGAAGCTCGGCCTTTGGTTCATACCGGAAAACCGATAGAAGAGAGGAAAGACCCTTCCATGGTTGTTGCTGGTACTGCCTTGGCCCATGCCGTTGGAACGGGATCAGTGACTGTATCAGTGACAGGATCAGTGCCAACTACACTTAAAATGCCTGACCCTCTGATTTTTCCAGTACCCGTTCCAGTTCCAATCTCAGACGAAGAAACTCTCTCCAACCTTAAAGATGTAACTGTAGTTGCAACAAGGAGGTGAGTTTCAAAATTATATTCTTTACTATTTCTGTGGTAATTGACATGGGAAGGTTTAATCCCTTAAGCATAGAATGAGGGATATCATAAAAATTGCACTATTATACTATGGATGAAACAAAGAAAATATATTCATACAGGAGGGCCCTGCTTCTACAGCAGGTTGGGCTCCAGGCAACTGCAGTACAGTGAAACATAGCTAGTTTTTTCACTTTCATACGCATATAAAAGTCCGATAACATGTTTACACTATGCAGTGGACCCTCGGTTAACACCTTTAATCCGTTCCGGAGAGCTAGCCTTTAACCGATTTAGCCTTTAACCGAATTAATTTTCCCCATAAGAAATAATGGAAATCCAATTACAGTAATCCATTCCAGACACTCAAAAGTATTAAACAAAATAATTTTTTTTTACATGAAATATACATTTCCCTACACAGCAACGAATGGTACATGCAAAATAAACAATAATTAAATGCCACGTACCTTTATTGTGGAGTTGTTGATGAGTGATGTGCCAGCAGCAGGGGAGATTCAAGTTTCCTATTGTTTGGAAGGGGAATCGCCTTCCATAAAGATTTCAGGTAACAAGTCCTTTTCTGGGGTTACCTCCCTTCTTGGTTTTTTAATGCCACTAGGACCAGCTTGAGAGTCACTGGACCCCTGTTGCACCAAAAATCTGTCCAAAGAGCTCTGTTTCTCACATGCCCTTAGGATTTCCCTAAAATGGGACACGAGTGTCATTGTACATGTTGCCAATACAGCTTGCAACAGCTGTGACAGGATAAAATTAATCCATAAATGCTTGCACCTTTGAAAACATTTTACACATTTCCTTAATCCTTGACAAAGGCAACTTCCTCCGTCTCTCTTCCTGCTCTGAAGCACATTCCTGAGCTGTGATCTGTTGTTGTTGCACATCAAGCTCTTTTTGGTCTGCAGTGGTTAGTTCTTCATCGTCGTTCTGCACCAACTCTTCCACATCCTCACCACAAACCTCCAACCCCATGGACTTCCCCTGTGACACAATAGCTTCCACTACTGGCATAGGCTCCTGAGGGTTAGCCCCAAACCCTTCAAAATCCCTCTCTTGTACACATTGTGGCCACAGTTTCCTCCAAGCAGAGTTCAAAGTCCTGTAAGTCACTCCCTCTCAAGCCTTACCTATAAGGTTTATGCAACAGGATACTGAAGTGATCTTTCCAGAACTCTCTTAGGGTCATTTCAGTGTCTGAGGTCACTTCAAAGCACTTTTGAAACACTGCTTTTGTGTAGAGTTTTTTGAAGTTTGAAATGACCTGCTTGTCCATGGGCTGGAGGAGAGGAGTTGTATTAAGAGGCAAATATTTAACTTTAATGAAACCAAACTCCCTTGCAATTTGCTCTTGCAAGTTGTGAGGATGAGCAGGAGCATTGTCCATTACCAGGAGGCACTTGAGTGACAATTTCTTTTCCAGGAGGTAATTTTTCACAGTGGGGCCAAACACACCATAAAACTGGTCCATGAAAATTTCCCTAGTGACCCATGCCTTACTGTTTGATCTCCACATCACACAAATTACCCTTGATGATATTGTTTTTCTTGAACACTGGGAGTTTCAGAGTGATACACCACTAAAGGCTTCACTTTACAATCACCACTAGCATTACTACACAACATTAATGTCATCCTGTCTTTCATAGGCTTATGTCCTGGGAGTGCCTTTTCCTCCTGCGTAATATAGGCCCTGTTTGGCATTTTCTTCCAAAATGGATCTTTCGTCACAATTAACCCTTTGACTGTCGCAAGCCCCTTTCTGAAACTGTCATTCTATGTCGCAAAATTTTTGAAAAAAAAAAATTATTTTTTTCTTATGAAATGATAGAGAATATTTTCCCGATGGTAATGACACCAAAAGTACGAAATTTGGTCGAAAACTCACGGAATTACGCTCCCGTGTCTCGGCGACATATACGCATCGGCGATTTCGCCGAATTTGAGCCCTGTTTTTAGCCATTTCCGTTGTTCCAGTTGACCAAACTCATAGCTATTTCTTTAGAACTCCATTTTTTCTATCAATTGAGTACAAGAAACCGCCCCTTTACCGATTTGAACTACCCAGTAAAGTGGTCAGAAATTGGCAATTTGGCCAATTTCACGCAAATTAAAAAAGATGCCAATTTCAAAATAGGGTCCAGAATAAACAGTGTAGACATTCTTGGCACTAAAATAACATATCCTCTGTTCATTAGTCATGTCTCTAGACCCCTCTTATATTGCTATTGCTTTCTGTTTTGGTTTTTTATTCATACAAAAAATACAAAATTTACTGTTATGCAGGCTGCTGCATTATTGTAAAAATTTTACAAATAATATCAGTGCACTAGTGAAAGAATATTAGACTCCCCAGTTGACATGTATTGGATGTGTGATGTGATTTGCTTACTCTTGAACATTGGTAAAACTCGAACATTTCCGCTAATTTGAGCTCAATTTCAAGGTCGTTTTCATCATGAAACTAATCAAAATCAACTCTATTTCTGGAATATGTTTTCCATTTTATCACGTGAGACCGTGAAAACGAGAATACAACGATAAATGCTATACGAAAATACACCTCAAAGTCGGCGTTTTAATAAAAAAAATGGTCAGTTTTTTTTCTCGTTATGCACTGCGTGCTGCATAATATTTTTTATGTGGTGCACACTGACCACACACTCATTCTCCCACATGTGGGCCCACCAGCTTTCTCCTGCTTGATTTGAAGCAGCTAGAATTATTGAGTATATATACGTCCGAAACACTGGCTCGTAAGACGTGTATATATGACCAAAACAGTCAAAGGATTAAACACTTGTTCGGGTTTTAAGTTTTCAGTCTCTATTTACTCCTTACTTAAAGTCCTGCGCATATTTTTCAGCCGCTTTTTTGTCTGAACCTGCAGCCTCACCATGCCTTATTACACTGTATGCCACTATGATTCTTAAATCTCTCAAACCAGCCTTTGCTGGCCTTAAATTCATCAGCAGCAGCACTATTTGGAGGCATTTTCTTAATGAGATCCTCATGCAACTGCCTTGCCTTTTCACATATGATTGACTGTGAAACACTATCCCCTGATAATTGTTTCTCGTTTATCCACACCAATAACAATCTCTCCACATCTTCGAGTATTTGTGATCTCTGTTTTGTAATCACACTTGCACCTTTTACAACAACAGCTTCCTTGATTGCCTTTTTGTTGCGCAAGATAGTAGCGATGGTTGAATGGGGTTTGTTGTATAACTTTTCCAACTCCTAGATACGCACTCCACTTTCGTACTTTTCTATTATCTCCTTTTTCAGTTCGATGGTACACCTCACCCTTTTTACCACATGGTTGGCACTAGAAGCTTTCTTGGGGCCCATGGTGGCTTATTTAGCGGTTACAAGCACTAAAAACAGTGGAATAATACAAAATATATCGCAGGTACACGTGGAATCGCCCGCAAGGGCTTGTAAACAATGCCACACTGGCTGGTAGACTGGGTGACTGGCTGGGCCCGCTCTTGGTCCCCAGCAGACATATTTGGGACGAAAGCTCTTAACCGAGTTTTTAGGTGTTATCCAAGCCAATTTTTTCATGCCAAAGTGAGGCATTATCCGATTTTGGCACTATCTGATCCAGGCGTTAACTGGGGGTCCACTGTATTTACTTAAAGTATTTTGATCTTTAACTTATAGTGAGTGGTGAATATATTTATTGTAAGAAGTCTGAATAAATGAAGAACAGGTATAACTGAAAACCGCTGCACTAGCAAAACTCTGCAAAGCAAAGCACTGTAAAGTGGGGACTGCCTGTACAGGAGTTTCCTTAGAGATCCTCCCCAACTTACTGTTCTGACTGACCAGTTGGATCTCGAAATGAACGGATGTCAGAATTATGTTAGTGTGGCATGTAGAAGTCTTATACCGGTACAGCAATCTTTTAACTTAATAAATTTCTGTCGTGATTATCTTTTTTTTTTTTTTATTGCCCTGCTTTATTACCTTAAGTTTCATTAATCACAAACTGATGTTCCTTACTTGTAGGTATCATTCATAGGCTTCACTAATAACAGTTTTTCTAATTCATGGTGTATTTTTTTTCGGTTGTATGTGCAGATGGGTGTAAGTCACATAGGTTGGAAGTTGAGGAGGATCTGTATACAGCCTCTCCTCACTTAGCAATGTACTCGTTTACTGACAACTCACACTTACGATGGGCTCTTTGATCAGTATGCATACCTAAATAATGCATATTAGAGCTGATTTCCTCTGTTATGTTTATTACAGTAAATATACAGTACAAACATTCAGTATAAACATTTAAAAATATACTAGAAATGTTATAAATAGTGGAAAGGTGACATTAAAACAATATCAGAGATGGGTGACACAATCCCACTACGATTATAGTATGCTCCTTGCTTAGTGACAAATTCGTTTATCAACATGGTCTTAGGAGTGGAACTCCATCGTTAAGTGAGGAGAGGCTGTGTCTAATAAGTACAACTTTACTATTGACTTTTAATTCTGAGAGGAAATTTTAGATATTTCAGTTTGTCTCAGGTCAAAATGTCATCTAAAGGGTGTTGCCAGCACCTAAATTTGGTAATACTGTATGTAGAGGCCTTTTATTTAGAAAATTATTACATCTTTATATTTCAGAGAGAGAGATGACATACTGCAAAGAGCTGTGAGTGCTCTCGGAGGAGCATTAGAGGATGACATACAGAATGGCACTGAAGCTCATCCAGTATTATTTGAAAGCCTTCCTAGCAACCAGATGAAACTAAAAAGAATACCAGAATGTGTAAACGTTGAGGAAGAACATGAAGCAAGACTGGCAGAACGTAGTAATGATGAACCAGAGATACTGGAGGTGAAGAAGGAAGTGGTGAAAACAATGCTCTGTAAATCGCAGGAGCTAGTTAGAAGTACAAGTCCAGCAAGTCAGATACAACCTGAGATGAAAGAAACAGTAATCAAACAAGAAAGAGTAGAAGACAATTCAGAAGAAAATCCCTTTAGCAAAGACAATGACTCCAAGGACTCTAAATTTCTTGTAAAGTCCAAGGTTCCTTCGTTCTGTGATGATATTAAACCTGAACACATTAAGTTTTCAGATCTCCTGAAGTGGGAGAATGGGGTTGGAAAACTTCATGGCAGTGACCTAAAGTTCAAGATGAATGAATTTAATGCCGTGGAGATTGTAGAAGATAGAGATTTGGAGGAGATTAAAAATCATCAAATAAGAAGAGTTGACCTCTTGACACCTCGTCACCATGCTCGCAAGCCCAACTACCGTGAAATTGTGAAGGATGAAGAAATATTTTCTGACAATTCTCAGGACTCTGAGTCTCAGGGTAACAAGTCCACTCGTGAATCAGATGACATATGTTGCTGCAAAAATTGTGGATGCTATGGTCTTAGCTCAGAGTTCTTCCGTGACAGCAGCTTCTGCTCTGTTGCTTGTGGAGACGTAAGTATTTGTTGATTAATGTTCCCTTTGTACTGAGTGCGCTGCTTGTGCTCGAGGAAGCAGTGCAACTTGGTAGAGGTAAAGCAGATGTTTCATACTTTAGTAAAGTGTATTTTTAGTTGAGCAAGAATAGAAATAGACAAAGAGGATTACAGTATTGGAGAGGTGATTATAGGACAAGATAAATGAAGTCTGAGTGAGGGGTGCTAATATTTAGAAACTAAAGCACTATGATACTGTATGGAATTTATATAGTAGAGTACCTCTGTTTTTATTTTAAAAATTTTGAGAAATAGTTTTAGTGTTTGTAGTGTTGTTATCTAGAAACATAAGAGAGTTAGTTGTATTTTATATTTGGAATGCATTACAAACTATCCATCTATGTGAAGACAGCAACAAATAAATTTTAAGCCACTGGAGGAACATAGATTGAGAGGAAATATAACCACTTCATACATAATGCCATGAAACACAGAAAATAGAGCAGGATAAAATAGCAGGAAGTCAAGATGAATGAATACACATTAAATGTGGACATTCCAAAGTAAGACATACTGCTAAGGTATATTTTTTCAAGGGTAAGAGTAGTCATAAAATGAAATAAGTTGGACAATGCACAATAAAGACTGATTCATAAATAGTTTTATAAACAATAAGCAAATAGAATAAACCAAATATACGCGTACATGTATTTAGAAAGATGAATCTCGTTAAGCTGACTTAGATACATTCCACATTAACTTAGATGTAGTGTTACTTTCTGCTGATGTCCTTCCCTCAGTACCTCTTCCTTCTGCCATCTCTCTCACCTTGGTCATTTACCACTGAATGACCCTTGTAGGTTTAATGCTATTCATGAATACAATACAGGTTGGCTATCGCTAATCCAGCAATCAGTTATCCGGTTCCATCAGTAATCTGACACTAATTTCAATCCAGCATAATTTCAAATTTCATCATTATACTGACTCAGAAATTGTGCAGATGTTTGTAAATGCACAGCAGCAAGCCAATGGAGGAGAAAGCAGTGATGAAAATGAGTAAGATTTAGCAGAGAGTCTCTCTGTTGATAGGTTAATTAAGTGTATTCTAACCTAACCACTCTTTAATCCGGCAAACTCACAAATTCGGCACACTACAGGTCCAAATGATGCGAGATTAGTGATGGCTAACCTGTATAATAATTTTGGAATATTGTACAGCCTCTCCTCACTTAAAGACAGAGTTCCATTCCTAAGACCACATCGGTAAATGTATTTGTCGCTAAGTGAGGAGCATATTATAATGGTAGTGAGTTTGTGTCAGCCATCACTGATATTGTTTTAATGTCACCTTTGCAGCATTTATAACATTTCTGGTATATTTTTAAATGTTTATACAGTAGTGTACTGTATGTTGAAATAAAAAGAATAGAGGAAATCAGCTCTAATATGCATTATTTAGGTATAAATACTGGTCAGAGAGCCCATCGTAAGTCTGAGGCATTGGTAAACGAGTATGTCGCTAAGTGAGGAGAGGCTGTATTAGTAAATTGTATTACTGTATGTATTACAAGAAATGTCAATGAACAGGGAAACCGGTTAGCTGGACTTGAGTCCTGGTGGTAGGAAGTACAGTGCCTGCACTCTAAAGGAGGCATTTGGGATATTTGCTGTTTCGAGTGACATCTAAACTGTCACATCTGCGTGCCTCTGCAAAGACAGTGATATTGTGAATGATGGTGAAAGTGTTTCTGTTTTTGGGTCACCCTGCCTCAGTGGGAGACACCCAGCATCTTAAAAAATAATAATAGTAATCCATGTTTTTATTGCAGGAACATGATGCTCGGGAAATTGAATGGGGTAAAGAGCGTCTGAAACAGGAAAAGGAACGGCAACGAAGGAAACGCCTTAAACAGAGTGAGAAAGCGGATGACGACCAAGGAGCAGGTGGTGACAGAGAGGGAAATCGCAGTGATGAGGATGGTGGTCAGGGAGGAAGTGATGATGAGTCTAGAAACTCTAAGAATTCTGGTATAGTATCTGAACCTCTTGTGAGTAAGTACCAACACCCATGGCAGGATGGAAAAAACAATTTTTCATGGGTTAAGTATTTGGAATACTGCGGCCGGGCCAAGGGACTTGCAAAGGCAGCACCGCTGAAAATATGGCCTGAGCCCTTCCCATTTGGTAGAAATTTATTTAAACCTGGAATGAAATTGGAAGCCATTGATCCTAGTCACCAGTCACTATTTTGTGTAATGACGGTAGCAGAAACTATTGGTTACAGACTGAGAGTTCATTTTGATGGGTACTCTGACCAATATGACTACTGGCTTAATGCAGATTCACCTAATATTTTCCCAGCTGGTTGGTGTGAAAAGAATGGCCGACAGTTGGAGCCTCCACTTGGGGTTATAGGATTTTCATGGAAAGCATACTTGGAACATTGTAAGGCTCAAACTGCACCTAGACAAGCCTTTATTAATAAAGGAAGTTCTACAATAATTCCTCCCAACAACTTTCGAGTGGGTATGAAGCTGGAGGCTGAGGATCGTAAAAATATGTGGGTGTGTGTGGCAACAGTGGCTGATGTATTAGACAACCGAGTCCTTGTTCATTTTGACGGATGGGACAAAGCTTTTGATATTTGGAATGAAGTTTCCTCACCATATATACACCCAGTTGGCTGGTGCACAGAAAACAATATTGTTCTACATCCTCCAAATGATTATCCAAACCCAGAAAGCTTCAACTGGCATGAGTACCTTCAGGAGACCAATTCAATGGCTGTTCCAGCAAGAGCCTTCAAGACAAGGCCTCCAAGGGAATTTAAGAAGAACATGAAGCTAGAAGTTGTCGACAAGCGAAATCCAGCTCTCATACGTGTAGCTACCATTGTTGATGTTCAGGAGTATCAACTGAAGATCCATTTTGATGGATGGGGTGATGAGTATGACTACTGGATGGATGATGACTCCCCAGATATTCATCCACCATCGTGGTGTAATAAAACAGCTCACCTACTCCAGCCACCTCTTACTCCTGAACAACAAGCAGAGGATGTTGACTCTGGAATGGGATGTGGAACTCCAGGGTGTAAAGGAATAGGTCACATCAAAGGCCCAATATATACTACTCACCATACTGCATATGGTTGCCCTTATTCCTTACAGAACATCAACAAAGACCTTGACAGTATAATTCCTGACAGATTACAGTTTCCACCAGAGAGAAAGAAGAGCAAAGTTTCTCCCAAAGTCAAATTAGATCTTCGTTCTTACAGTGGAAAAGAAGGAAATGGAGAAGTGGAAGAAGCAGATTGCCAGAAGAAGCGTGTTAGAAAGAGAAGAAAGTTCTTTGATGAGCTTAGTCCACCAGAGCCCAACAGGCCACAAAAAGTACCAAAACTTAACAGTGATGAAGTCAAGCCAATATCCATTACAAGTACAATGACACCAAGTGCAGTTACAACAGCTGCTGTTATATCTTCCATGACCCTTGTTCCCTGTACCTCTTCCACACAGCCATCAACTTTGAGTCACATTATCCCACAGCAGCCTTCTCACCCTGCCCCATCCCAGCCTCTTGACCATGGCATGGATATGATGGTACACCAGTCAGTTTTCAATCCAGGTTATAATCCACACCCTTCTGCACCCTTACCACACTCGTGGGAACGTCATCGTCACCTCACAGCTTCCCTTGGTGATGCCAAAAAGTCTGACGTGGAATCATGGGATGCAGAGCAAGTGCATCAGCTGGTGGCACGGATCCCTGGTTGTGAGCAAGTGGCAACAGTGTTTATTGAACAACAGATTGATGGTGAGGCTTTCTTAATGATGACCCAGAATGACCTAGTAAGTTTATTACAAATGAAATTGGGTCCAGCGATCAAGATAATGGCAATTATTATGTGTCTAAGAAGTTCTACTTAAACAACAAAGGGTGTGTTGCCTTTACATTGTGCCACCCCCACTGTACACACCTCCATCGGTCTTGTAGACCAATGATTTTTTGCATTCCTGTATACTCCAGCTGGTTTTGACATTTAAGGTACCGTATTTTAATATTTAATGTAGGGAAATGCAGCTGAAGAGAGACTAACATGTGATATTTTTTGCGAAGCTCAATTTACTCTAGTGTGATAAGTATCACATTAATTTTATAACTTATGAAATGTAGAAAGCAATTTTGTAAATACCTCCAATAATTATGCAATGTTAAGTGTGTACATTCCAGTATGTGGTAACAGTTTTGAAGGAGCATGTCATATTTGTTTATCAGGTAAGATTGATGATACTGCTAGTCATTGTATTCAGTACATCAGCAAGAAACTGCCACAAACTTGAATTCATCGTTGTACATATATGTTGTGTTCCAAGATTACTTTCCAAATTTTGTACTTGTTTTCTATTCTTGTGGAACTTTGTCTTTCCACAGTGTTTGACAATCAGTTTCAGAACACCTGTTATATCTTAAATGTTCAGTGAGTGGAATGTGGAGTGTATGCCTGTGATTCTCATTCTGCCATGTAGAAGCTTCACGTCAATCTTAAGCTCTAATAGAATATGTCGTAGAAAATACAGTATTTGATCACTGAGTATACTGTATAAATGCCTGAACTTTGTAGTAACAATGGAGTCAAAGGTAACCAGAATGGAAGACTGCATTGGTAAATATGAATAGTTACAGTGGGCCTCATGAAGATTAAGCCATCTGTGCATAATGTATATTGTAATGCCATAATAGCAATCTGCATTCAGACATAATGGTAATGGGTAACAGATTTAATCTAAATGGGGACTGGGATTGATGGCATTGACATGACATTGTGATCACCACACACTGTGCGCCACCTAACCTTGCCGGGCCACAGAATTGTCCTCACATTGGATGCATTGAGAGTCCCGAATGCTGTCATCTGAGCTTTGATGCCTCTATGAATACTCACAGGAATACTACAGCAATCAAATGACAGTGAAAAAGCACCTTAAGACAACTAAAATTCTATGGAATGATGAAGTCTTAAGCCAGTAAGGATGTTGTGCTCTTTAAATTAAAATAATACTCTATGTACATATATTTAAACATCTGCTTAGCTGATGTTATTGTAATTAAGACAACTGTATGTACTATTGGTGCATAAAAGGCTGAAAAATTGTGAACTGTTGTTTTGTTTACATTCCAGTACCTAAATGATGTATGCATATAGTATTAGTACAGTATGATAGACCTCAATAGAGTAGCAAGGCAATGAAGTAATCTTGAGTAGCACGGTCTTTCACAAATAACTCGCACTTCAGAAAGCCGGGTTCATCAAGGATTGCCATTAAGGCCAGTACTGTTTCTGGTTTATGTAACTGACATTCTAGTTAGGATTGGCTCAGATTTATCCATGCTTGCTGATGACATAAAACTAATGAGGAGAATAAAAATAGATGAGGACAGGTAAAGATTCCAAAGGGATCTGGACAAACTGCAGGAGTAGGCAGATAGTGGTTGCTGGAGTTCAACTCCAGTAAATACAAGGGCAAGGAGATTAGGGAAGGAGGAAGAAGACTGGAAACTAGGTATAGACTTGGGGAACAGAGGATGCAGACTTCACTCAAAGAGAAAGACCTAGGGGTGAGCACACTGGTATAACACCAGAGGCTCACATCAACTGAATAACTTCCGCAGCTAATGTTCATATGGCAGATCAACAAAGAGTCATTCTGGGTCCTTTATACAGTACTACATTGTATAAAGGAGCACACATGAAAAGCATGTTAAGAAACTGGAGAAAGTGCACAAGTATGAAATAAGGCTTATTCCTGAGCTAATGACCCTGGAGGCCAGAAGAATCAGGACATGATAACATACAAAATACTCAGGGGAATTAATAAGAAAGACAGGGATAGGCTGTTTAAAAGGAGTAACAGGAACTCTGGGGCACAAATGGAAGTTAGTTACAGATGAGCCAAAGGAATGTTACGAAGTATTTTTTCAGTCGAAGAGTGGTCATGGCTTAGCGCTTCTTTTTGATTATAATAATAATAATAAGAGTGGTCAGTAAGTGGAATGATCTTGATAAGGAAGTGGTTGAGGAAGGCTCCACACACACACACACACACACACACACACACACACACACACAGAAATAATAGGAAGACCAAAACGAGTCCTTGGTTTACCCGAAGGTGTAGGGAGGCAAAAACTAAGTGCAACAGAGAATGGAAAAGGTACAGGAGGCATAGGACCCAGGAAAACAAGGAGATTAGTAGAAGAGCCAGAAACGAGTATGCGCAGATAAGGAGGGAGGCCCAGCGACAGTATGAAAACGACATAGCATCGAAAGTCAAATCTGACCCGAAACTGCTGTATAGCCACATTAGGAGGAAGACAACAGTCAAGGACCAGGTGATAAGGCTGAGGAAAGAAGGTGGAGAACTCACAAGAAACGATCAAGAGGTATGTGAGGAGCTCAACACGAGATTTAAGGAAGTATTTACAGTAGAGACAGGAAGGACTCTGGGGGGACAGACCAGATGGGGACACCAACAAGGAATACACCAACAAGTGTTGGACGACATACATACAGATGAGGAGGAGGTGAAGAAACTGCTAAGGGACATCGATACCTCAAAGGCAATGGGACCGGACAACATCTCTCCATGGGTCCTTAGAGAGGGAGCAGATATGTTGTGCATACCACTTACCACAATCTTCAACATATCCCTGGAAACTGGGCAACTACCTGAGGTATGGAAGACGGCAAATGTAGTTCCCATTTTCAAAAAAGGAGACAGAAAAGAGGCACTAAACTATAGACCTGTGTCATTGACGTGTATAGTATGCAAAATTATGGAGAAGATTATCAGGAGGAGAGTGGTGGAGCACCTGGAACGGAACAGGAGTATAAATGCCAACCAGCACGGATTCACGGAAGGCAAATCCTGTGTCACAAACCTTCTGGAGTTTTATGATAAAATAACAGAAGTAAGACAAGAGAGAGAGGGGTGGGTTGATTGCATCTTCTTGGACTACAAGAAGGCCTTTGACACAGTTCCTCACAAGAGATTAGTGCAGAAGCTAGAGCATCAGGCGCATATAACAGGAAGGGCACTGCAATGGATCAGAGAATACCTGAGAGGGAGGCAACAACGAGTCATGGTACGTAGTGATGTATCACAGTGGGCACCTGTGACGAGCGGGGTCCCACAGGGGTCGGTCCTAGGACCAGTGCTATTTTTGGTATATGTGAACGACATGACGGAAGGGTTAGACTCAGAAGTGTCCCTGTTTGCAGATGATGTGAAGTTAATGAGGAGAATTAAATCTGATGAGGACCAGGCAGGACTTCAAAGAGACCTGGACAGACTGGACACCTGGTCCAGCAAATGGCTTCTCGAATTTAATCCTGCCAAATGCAAAGTCATGAAGATAGGGGAAGGGCACAGAAGACCACAGACAGAGTATAGGCTAGGTGGCCAAAGACTGCAAACCTCACTCAAGGAGAAAGATCTTGGGGTGAGTATAACACCGAGCATGTCTCCGGAAGCACACATCAATCAGATAACTGCTGCAGCATATGGGCGCCTGGCAAACCTGAGAACAGCATTCCGACACCTTAGTAAGGAATCATTCAAGACATTGTACACCGTGTATGTCAGGCCCATACTGGAGTATGCAGCACCTGTTTGGAACCCGCACTTGATAAAGCACGTCAAGAAACTAGAGAAAGTACAAAGGTTTGCAACAAGGTTAGTTCCAGAGCTAAGGGGAATGTCCTATGAAGAAAGATTAAGGGAAATCGGCCTGACGACACTGGAGGACAGGAGGGTCAGGGGAGACATGATAACGACATATAAAATACTGCGTGGAATAGACAAGGTGGACAAGGACAGGATGTTCCAGGGAGGGGACACAGAAACAAGAGGCCACAATTGGAAGTTGAAGACACAAATGAGTCAGAGAGATAGTAGGAAGTATTTCTTCAGTCATAGAGTTGTAAGGCAGTGGAATAGCCTAGAAAATGACGTAGTGGAGGCAGGAACCATACACAGTTTTAAGACGAGGTTTGATAAAGCTCATGGAGCGGGGAGAGAGAGGGTCTAGTAGCAACCGGTGAAGAGGCGGGGCCAGGAGCTAGGACTCGACCCCTGCAACCACAAATAGGTGAGTACAAATAGGTGAGTACACACACACACAGGAGCTGTGAATCGACCCCTGCAACCACAACTAGGTGAGTACACACACACACACTACGCACTACACACACTGCACACCACACACACTACACACACACTACACACACTACACACACTACACACACTACACACACACTACACACACTACACACACACTACACACACACTACACACACACTACACACTACACACACACTACACACACTACACACACACTACACACACTACACACACTACACACACACTACACACACACTACACACACACACTACACACACACTATACACACACACTACACACACACTACACACACACTACACACACACTACACACACACTACATACACTACATACACACTACAGGCCCGGTGGCCTGGTGGCTAAAGCTCCCGCTTCACACACGGAGGGCCCGGGTTCGATTCCCGGCGGGTGGAAATTCCGACACGTTTCCTTACACCTACTGTCCTGTTCACCTAGCAGCAAATAGGTACCTGGGTGTTAGTCGACTGGTGTGGGTCGCATCCTGGGGGACAAGATTAAGGACCCCAATGGAAATAAGTTAGACAGTCCTCGATGACGCACTGACTTTCTTGGGTTATCCTGGGTGGCTAACCCTCCGGGGTTAAAAATCCGAACGAAATCTTATCTTACACACATCACACACACATCACACACACATCACACACACACACACACACACACACACACACACACACACACAACCACAAACAGGTGAGTACAAATAGGTGAGTACACACACACACACACACACACACACACACACACACAAACTCACTGGAGAACCAGGCAGGGATAACGGGGAAGGCACTACAATGGATCAGGGAATATTTGTCAGCAAGACAGCAGCGAGTCATGGTACGTGGCGAGGTGTCAGAGTGGGCGCCTGTGACGAGTGGGGTTCCACAAGGGTCAGTCCTAGGACCAGTGCTATTTCTGGCATTTGTGAACGACATGACGGAAGGAATAGACTCCGAAGTGTCCCTGTTTGCAGATGATGTGAAGTTGATGAGAAGGATTCAATCGGACGAGGACCAGACAGAACTACAAAGGGATCTGGACAGGCTGCAGACCTGGTCCAGCAATTGGCTCCTGGCGTTCAACCCCAAGTGCAAAGCCATGAAGGTTGGGAAGGGCAAAGAAGACCGCAGACGGAGTACAGTCTAGGGGGCCAGAGACTACAAACCTCACTCAAGGAAAAAGATCTTGGGGTGAGTATAACACCAGGTACATCTCCTGAGGTGCACATCAACCAAATAACTGCTGCAGCATATGGGCGCCTAGAGAACCTAAGAACAGCATTCAGACATCTTAATAAGGAATCGTTCAGGACCCTGTACACTGTGTACGTTAGGCCCATATTGGAGTATGCGGCACCAGTTTGGAGCCCACACCTAGCCAAGCACGTAAAGAAACTAGAGAAAGTGCAAAGGTTTGCAACAAGACTAGTCCCAGAGCTAAGGGGTATGTCCTATGAGAAGAGGTTAAGGGAAATCAATCTGACGACACTGGAGGACAGGAGAGATAGGGGGGACATGATAACGACTTACAAAATACTGAGAGGAATTGACAAGGTGAACAAAGACAGGATGTTCCAGAGACTGGACACAGCAACACGGGGACACAGTTGGAAGCTGAAGACACAGATGAATCAAAGGGATGTTAGGAAGTATTTCTTCAGCCACAGTGTAGTCAGGAAGTGGAATAGTTTGGGAAGCGATGTAATGGATGCAGGATCCATACATAGCTTTAAGCAGAGGTACGATAAAGCTCATGGTGCAGGGAGAGTGACCTAGTAGCGACCAGTGAAGAGGCGGGGCCAGGAGCTTGGACTCGACCCCTGCAACCTCAACTAGGTGAGCACAACTAGGTGAGTACACACACACACACACACACTACACACTACACACACACACACACACACACACACACACACACACACACACACACACACACACACAAAACACACACACACACACACACACTACACACACACTACACACACACTACACACTACACACACACACACTACACACACACTACACACACACACACACACACACACACCACACACACACACACACACACACACACACACACACACACACACACAACACACACACACACACTACACACACACTACACACACACTACACACACACTACACACACACACACACTACACACACACTACACACACACACACACACACACACACACACACACACACACACACACACACACACACATACAACACACACACACACACACACACACACACACACACACACACACACACATATAAACAGGGAGGCGTGGAAACATCCAACCAGTCGTGTTTAAGGTATTGCCACGCGCGTCTCCTCCCCTTCCTCCTCCTCCTCCTGCTGCTGCTGCTCCTCCCACGCCGCCCCTACTACTCACTCCGCGCCCATGCTTACTCACCACGCCTACTCCACAAACAAGGACCTGTGCTCCTTCAGAGGATCAAAATCAGACGCTTCATTTCTTCTCGCGGGTGCTCCTCCTAGAACCTTAGTGTACCCACTCAGCCAGGGACTGAAACAAGTGCAAACACACATAAACTCTCCTATTAAGTCAAATTACAGTTGAACTTACAAGTGTATTAATCATGATACAAGTTTGAAATGGAACGTGTTTTTTATATGTTTTACGTATATTGCACATTTACGTTTGAAGTTACAAGCGTTTTATATGTTAATTATGAAGTGTTTCTCTAATTATGGGTGAAGTGCGAAGTGTTGTAAGAAAAAAACTGTTAAGTGTAGTGTTCTTGTGAGTTAGTATCCTAGAGCAACTAGACTCTGAGTGCTGGTCTACCTGGCAGTTAAAGGTTTCTTTCTCTGCTTGCTAGCAAGTCTTCCTTCTCCACTACATCACTAGATGTTATTTCAAAGTTTTAACATTTTATTAACATCATCATCATCAGGGCTTGACTGGAGTCTGCACATTGGACTCTTATGATGATAATGGTCTACATAACGAAAAAAAAAGTAAAAAGCTCTAAAACGTTTAAATGTATTTTTGTTAGTTTATATTTATAAAATAATAATGAATTACCAATATATTTTTTAGAAAAGTTTATTCAACGCTGCATGTGGAAGTATAGTGGATAAGTCAACAGAAGCTCCAGTATCTTAGTGTATTTACTTACCTGTTCCACATCAGCTGGTCTGTCAGTGGGGCTGTCCTGGTCACTGCCGGTGTCTGTATTCGAAATTTGAAACTACTGTCAACATCTAAGTTCGAAATTTGAAACTACTGTCAACATCTAAGTTCGAAATTTGAAACTACTGTCAACATCTAAGTTCGAAATTTTAAACTACTGTCAACATCTAAGTTCGAAATTTGAAACTACTGTCAACATCCAAGTTCGAAATTTGAAACTACTGTCAACATCTAAGTTCGAAATTTGAAACTACTGTCAACATCTAAGTTCGAAATTTGAAACTACTGTCAACATCTTAGTTCGAAATTTGAAACTTCTGTCAACATCTAAATTCGAAATTTGAAACTACTGTCAACATCTAAGTTCGAAATTTTAAACTACTGTCAACATCTAAGTTCGAAATTTGAAACTACTGTCAACATCCAAGTTCGAAATTTGAAACTACTGTCAACATCTTAGTTCGAAATTTGAAACTACTGTCAACATCTAAATTCGAAATTTGAAACTACTGTCAACATCTAAGTTCGAAATTTGAAACTACTGTCATCTAAGTTCGAAATTTGAAACTACTGTCAACATCTAAATTCGAAATTTGAAACTACTGTCAACATCTAAGTTCGAAATTTGAAACTACTGTCAACATCCAAGTTCGAAATTTGAAACTACTGTCAACATCTTAGTTCGAAATTTGAAACTACTGTCAACATCTAAATTCGAAATTTGAAACTACTGTCAACATCTAAGTTCGAAATTTGAAACTACTGTCATCTAAGTTCGAAATTTGAAACTACTGTCAACATCTAAATTCGAAATTTGAAACTACTGTCAACATCTAAGTTCGAAATTTGAAACTACTGTCAACATCCAAGTTCGAAATTTGAAACTACTGTCAACATCTTAGTTCGAAATTTGAAACTACTGTCAACATCTAAATTCGAAATTTGAAACTACTGTCAACATCTAAGTTCGAAATTTGAAACTACTGTCATCTAAGTTCGAAATTTGAAACTACTGTCAACATCTAAGTTCGAAATTTGAAACTACTGTCAACATCTAAGTTCGAAATTTCAAACTACTATCAACATCTAAGTTCGAAATTTGAAACTACTGTCAACATCTAAGTTCGAAATTTCAAACTACTGTCAACACCTAAGTTTGAAATTTGAAACTACTGTCAACATCTAAATTCGAAATTTAAAATTATTGGCACTCGCTGCCGGGTCAATAGTTTCCTCCTTGGATTATCATCGTCTTGAGAAACATTTATGATGGAACATAACTTTCACAGCTAATAGATTCCTGGAGCAGTGGGAAGGGGGGGGGGTATCAGCTCAATATAATTTTCTCAATGAATCCTCCAAGGAGGTTCCCTTGTGTATTCCTTCAGGAGTTCTGATGGCTATCCTCAGCATGACGTTGGTTGTAAAACTGTAGCACTTAGGAGCCGCTACCTGGGAAATTTTGAGCCAAAAATTGTTTTTTTCGTAGTTTTAATACGAGAACTAGTATCATACACAAGAAATAATGTGGGTTTTTTTATGTTTAGTATTTAGAAGAGAATTAATTGAAGAAAAATATTCTTAATATTGGAAACAGTTGTCGAAACATCCTGGAGACATAAGTCAATTAGTTAAATGACTGTGTGAGGATGGATCTTCCTTGGACAGTGCACACCGGTGACTCAAAGAGGACATCTTCAAGGATCTAACTTGAACGGTTCATACCAGAAGAACATCTGTGAGGATTTCCCTTTAACAGTACGTAACTGATGCCTTAAATGAGGACGTTTTCAAGGATCTCCTACGAGAAGTGCACACTGGTGCCTAGAAAGAGGACGCCTGCAACAGGTTTCTGCCCCGACGGCATTTTGAGGAGCTTCTACCTAGGTGTCCAGCATATTACCATTACTTCTATAACGTGAAAGCTATTCGATGCCCTTTTCACCTTCCAAGATCTCAACTCAAGACTTCATTTTATTCGTAAAATTATAAGTAAAAATTTTCATCATTAATAAGTTCTCCAGTTTCTTGATCTTTGTTGAGATAAACTTGCTACTCCGAAGTTTATTAACCCACCACACCAGCGTCCAGCCCACCACACCAGCGTCCAGCCCACCACACCAGCGTCCAGCCCACCACACCAGCGTCCAGCCCACCACACCAGCGTCCAGCCCACCACACCAGCGTCCAGCCCACCACACCAGCGTCCAGCCCACCACACCAGCGTCCAGCCCACCACACCAGCGTCCAGCCCACCACACCAGCGTCCAACTCACCACACCAGCGTCCAGCCCACCACACCAGCGTGCAGCCCACCACACCAGCGTCCAGCCCACCACACCAGCGTCCAGCCCACCACACCAGCGTCCAGCCCACCACACCAGCGTCCAGCCCACCACACCAGCGTCTAGCCCACCACACCAGCGTCCAGCCCACCACACCAGCGTCCAGCCCACCACACCAGCGTCCAGCTCACCACACCACCACCCAGTATTTATCATCTCCGGAAGGAAGACAGAACATCAGGTCAGACTGGGTACACTTTCCCTAAAGTTTGCCCCAGAGTGCCCATTTAGAGGGCGTATCTCCGGGTAAGCGGAGGTACTCAGGAGAGAGGAAGTGCCCTCAAGTGAGAGGAAGTACCCACAGGTGAGAGGCAGTGTTCTCGGGTGAGAGTGAGTGCCCCAGAAAGGAAGGAGTGTAGACCAGGAGGGAGGAAGTACCTCCAGGAAGGAAGGAGTGCTCGTTAGGAGGGAGATGTTGTCTATACAGGAGCTGCGTGAGTCACTGAGACTGGCGGAGCATCTAGCACATCTCTCCCTCACCTCAGGGGGAGACAGAGATGATGTCTCCCATCCCCAGAGGGGAGGGGAGACTCCCAAGCCTTACGTCCCCCCTAAGCAACTGCTGCTCTACCTTGTCAGGTGAGAAATTGGAGGGGAGTGGAAGGAATACTGTTATAATATGAACCGCTAAGCCCGTAGGGGTCATACAGCTCCCGATGAATACAATATACTAGTTTATTGCAACATGCCATTTGTGTGCATGTTCAAAGCTCATAGTTATGCAGAAAATTTCGACAATAAGGGCATATCATTGTACATGATTATAAGAAAAAAATAGTTGGGTTATAGTCTAGTAAGTTTATTGGTATTATTTTTACATTAGATGACATTATAGGTACTATTTTGTACAATGGATAACATGTGATTCAGAATCTTAAGTTCAATTCAGTTGAAGAACTCGAAAAATTTATTTTGGTTATAATCAAGTCTGATCAAAGGGAGGTAAAAGGTAGCTCAAATTTCTTGGATCAGGAGCCCGTCGCCAGCATTTAGGAACCTTCCTGAAAAGGGGGCGGGGAGGATGAAATAGTGAAAATCAGGGATGAAGAGAGAGCAAGTTACAACACTCCCAAGGTTAGTAATAATATTTCTAACAATTATGAAACTCCACCTATTGACATGGCGCACCTAGAGAATAACAAATTTATTAAATATATATCCAGACTAAGAGTGCTCAGGGTCATACAAATTCACTCTCGTGTTCAAAACGTTTGTTTTGTTTTTAATTTCGTTTATTTTCTCACTGGTTGGTCTTTGTTCGTTCCGTGTGACGCGGCGCCAACTTCCGCTTCCTGATACACTGTGTCTTCCCGGAGTCTGAGAGATCAAGGTCGAGAGTCTTTACACAGCGCTTCCGAACAAGGACATGGGTGGAAGTGATTTTCTCCACGTTTGTGAGACTTTTCTCTTTCTCTGCCTACCTGTGTGCTTACTGGGCAATTCAAGGTCTTTGTACCTCTCACACTGCTGCCATTAAAACACACACACACAATGATAAACTTTCGGATAAGTTTGGTCGTGGCTTGGTTGGTAGCTTCCTCAGGTCACACTGAGGGTCCAGGACTGATCCCCGGCACGGGCGAAACGTAAATCATGTTTTCTTGCACCTGTTCACCTAGTAGTGAGTAGGTACCTGGGTGTTAGTCACCCTACACCTGCTGTTTCTGTTCACCTAGCAGTGAGTAGGTATACCAGTGTTAGTCAACTATTGTGGGTATCATTCTGGAGGACAAGATTAACCTAAGTTGCCATTAATGTTGTATATAACTAGTGACTGTCTATACAGTAAAGTGTGTCAATGATGTCAGCTACGACTGTATCACTTGTATCATGTACTGGTAGAAATAAAGATTATTATAATAATTTTGTGGACTGAGACTCATGGTGGGTTAGATGGTACTGTGACCTTGAGTAGACTTTGTATATATTTTGGTAGAATTACCGACAATATGTAAAGAAAAAGGACATAAGTGCAAATAATGTGACATTTTATTGTGGCAACGTTTCGCTCTCCAGGAGCTTTGTCAAGCCGTTACAAACAGTACATGGACACAGAGGGTATATATAGGCTCAGAGTGAGGTGCAATATTAGTGGTAGTAGTAGTAGTAGTAGTAATACAGTTAATTTGCACATGAGTAAAAGGATATCCTTTTATCCCGAAAGTTTATCATGGTGTGTGTGTTTTAATGAAAAGCAGGGGTGTCACTAGCACGTTAAGAGACCATACAATAAGTGTCAGGGACCCGAGACTGTTCAACTGCCTCCCAGCATACATAAGGGGGATTACCAACAGACCCCTGGCAGTCTTCAAGCTGGCACTGGACAAGCACCTAAAGTCGGTTCCTGACCAGCCGGGCTGTGGCTCGTACGTTGGTTTGCGTGCAGCCAACAGTAACAGCCTGGTTGATCAGGCTCTGATCCACCAGGAGGTCTGGTCACAGACCGGGCCGCGGGGGCGTTGTACCCCGGAACTCTCTCCAGGTAAACTCCAGCAGTGAGAGGCACGAAGACCTTGAATTAATTGTATTACTACTACTACTACAACTTATATAAATGTGTGACTTTGTCAATGGTCCAAGTCGGACCGAAACGTCGTCGTAAGCTTCTGTCTTTTATGTGCGGGTTATTTGTGTACAACTTATATCACTGTGCAAGACAGGTATACAACATCGACAAGATGAAAGTTAAGACACTTGTGCAACATCTGGTTATCTTTATTGTAGACGTTTCGCCATCAAGTGGCTTTATCAATACAGATTCTTTGGACATAATAATATAGTTCTTCAGTTTTCTTATTATGTCCAAAGAATCTGTATTGATAAAGCCACTTGATGGCGAAACGTCTACAATAAAGATAACCAGATGTTGCACAAGTGTCTTAACTTTCAACTTATATCACTACTACTACTACTACTACCACTAGTATTACACCTCACTCTAAGCCTATGTATACCCTCAGTGTCCATGTACTGTTTGTAACGGCTTGACAAAGTTCCTGGAGAGCGAAACGTTGCCACAATAAAATGTCACATTAGTTGCACTTGTGTCCTTTTTCTTTACATAAAGTAGACTTTCTTGAAGACCTCATTCTAATTAGTAAGCCAAAAGGATTGATAACCCAAGAAAGCCAAGCAGTGTAGCTTATTTCTATTAGGGTCAGTTATTTAGTTCTTCCGCTATGATGCTTCTGCAACAATTAACTAATTGCCAGGTATCAATTTATTGCTGCTAATCTTTTTTTTTTAGGTGCGGGATGCATAACAGATATCAAATATTCTTTCTCACACGGGATGGGTGTGGAGTTAATAAACTCTCTCTCTCTCTCTCTCTCTCTCTCTCTCTCTCTCTCTCTCTCTCTCTCTCTCTCTCTCTCTCTCTCTCTCTCTCTCTCTCTGTCTGTCTGTCTCTCTCTCTCTCTCTCTCTCTCTCTCTCTCTCTGTCTGTCTGTCTCTCTCTCTCTCTCTCTCTCTCTCTCTCTCTCTCTCTCTCTCTCTCTCTCTCTCTCTCTCTCTCTCTCTCTCTCTCTCTCTCTCTCTCTCTCTCTCTCTCTCTCTGTCTTCTCTCTCTCTCCTCTCTCTCTCTCCTCTCTCTCTCTCTCTCTCTCTCTCTCCTCTCTCTCTCTCTCTCTCTCTCTCTCTCTCTCAATCGCTCATTAACAGTGGTCATGTCACGGCAGTGAGGTCAACACCCTCATGGGTGTTCATGGCCAACCAGTCACGTCAATAATTTAACCTTGTTCTAGAAAAGTTGTTTTCAGGATCTGCGTTGTGCGTCATTGTTTAAGATGGATGCCATTTTAATAGGAGTGCCTTGATGCTGCCGAAGAGCTCTCCTTCCAAGGAATTAGAGTTACCCTCCCTTTCATCAGATCAAACCTGATGACCTCGCATTCCGCCGGCCCTATATGGATCCTATTGGTTTAGATTAATGTGTCCTCTTTATTTCTGTGCTTGACTCCCATTCTTCCACTGTAACAGTAAACGTATGAATGTTCCCATGCTACTGTTCCCATGATGATAGAATTACCGTCGAAATGTTGGGTAAATGGTTACAGATGCAACTAATGGGAGGTCATGAGTCCTGCCCCATGGGAGGTCATGAGTCCTGCCCCATGGGAGGTCATGAGTCCTGCCCCATGGGAGGTCATGAGTCCTGCCCCATGGGAGGTCATGAGTCCTGCCCCATGGGAGGTCATGAGTCCTGCCCCATGGGAGGTCATGAGTCCTGCCCCATGGGAGGTCATGAGTCCTGCCCCATGGGAGGTCAAGAGTCCTGCCCCATGGGAGGTCATGAGTCCTGCCCCATGGGTGGTCATGAGTCCTGCCCCATGGGAGGTCATGAGTCCTGCCCCATGGGAGGTCATGAGTCCTGCCCCATGGGAGGTCATGAGTCCTGCCCCATGGGAGGTCATGAGTCCTGCCCCATAGGATGTCATGAGTCCTGCCCCATGGGAGGTCATGAGTCCTGCCCCATGGGAGGTCATGAGTCCTGCCCCATGGGAGGTCATGAGTCCTGCCCCATGGGAGGTCATGAGTCCTGCTCCATGGGGGGTCATGAGTCCTGCCCCATGGGAGGTCATGAGTCCTGCTCCATGGGAGGTCATGAGTCCTGCCCCATGGGAGGTCATGAGTCCTGCTCCATGGGAGGTCATGAGTCCTGCCCATGGGAGGTCATGAGTCCTGCCCCATGGGAGGTCATGAGTCCTGCTCCATGGGAGGTCATGAGTCCTGCCCCATGGGAGGTCATGAGTCCTGCCCCATGGGAGGTCATGAGTCCTGCCCCATGGGAGGTCATGAGTCCTGCTCCATGGGAGGTCATGAGTCCTGCCCCATGGGAGGTCATGAGTCCATGCAAGTTTCCTGAGTAACCTTTTAAAATTTTCATATTAATGTCATTAAAACAGTAAGTACTTGTGCGTAATCACTATACACGAACAGTGTTGTATGTATTTGAGTACAACCCATACATAATCTGAAGTACAGTTTTTATAATACACTGAAGGATGGCTGGAGATGTTTCAGTTCGGATTGTCATTTAAATTGTCAACACATTTCTGGCAAGACAAATATCGCATTGAATGAAGATTGGCGAATATGTTTCGTTTTTTGGGGTGGTCACATATCTCGGTGGGGCACAGCCGATTTATTATGAAAAAAATATTTGCTTTTGTTGTCCAATGGATAATTGCTTCTAAAAACTGTATAGCGTCCCCGATGGATGCCCAATCTTCCTTTTTTTTTTCTGGCATCTGGAAATAACTTATATGATTTCTCCTCCCCCGCGTCGCTACTAATTTCTGAGAATTCATAGTGTCGTTTCTGTTTCGTCCGTCATAATATCATTTATAGGGGGAAATTGCTTTTCGCGGTACTGGGGACCTGAACGAAGGCTCTTACAGTATTCTAAGGTTTAGTTCCTGTAGGACCCCAGTGGAAATTAGTGACTGACTTTTTTGGGGTTATCCTGGTGGCTAATTTACATATACTATGTCATTGTGTATGATAATTTGTGTAAGTATTTATGTACCTGTACCTGTATAAACCTACTAGGCTTTCCTCAAATGTCATTCCTCTTAGCT